GTTGCTACTGGATTGCTACACTGTTGTCTCATGGTGGTGAGGGAGGATGGAGGATATAGGATATAAGCAAATTTATTTAAAAGATGGAAAGAAAAGGAAGTAAAGCTCTCGCTAACCAGGAGGGGGTTCTGAGCAGGGCACCCAGGACGGTTCTTTGTCTAGGGACTTAAAAGGGTTTAGAAGGGCGCTTGGGTGTAAGCAATATAATCTCTACCCTTGAGTAGACTATGTATTTTTTAGGATTTAATTAATCTATACAGTGTTCACATAGTGCCCATGCAGAGCCCATGCCTCACTGAGCCAATGACCTCGCTGATCAGGCTCTGATGAGGTCCCAGACAGCAGAAGGACACCTGGAAGATGTTTTTGTAAGATCCCTGGAGGGGCGCGACTAAGCAGACTCTATTTTGGGGCTTTTTGGCTCCACTTTGGGGCTGCTCTCCTTACTGCCTAATAGAATTTTCACTTTTGTTTCATTAATTTTTGTTACAATGTGATTTTTAGATTTTACATAGCTCCCATCAAAATCCCAGAAATATTGAACATACCAAACTGATTCTAAAACCTGTATGGAAAAGCAGAAAAACAAAACAAATAAAAAACTAGAATAGCCAACAATAACTCCACAAAAGAACAAAGTTGGAAGAATCACACTACCTGATAACAAAATGTTAAATAAACTACAATAATCAAATTAAGACACTATATAATAGCCAGGCATGAGGGTACATGCTAGTTGTCCTAGCTACTTTGAAGGTTGAGGCTGAAGAATCACTTGAGTCCAGAAGTTTAAGGCCAGGCTTGGCAATATAATAAGACACCCTCTCTCCTAATATGAAAATATAAAAAGGGCTAAGGATGTAGCTCAGCGGTGGAGCACATATTTAGCATGTGTAAGGCCCTGGCTTTGATCTCCAGTACCACGAAGAAACACAGTATATTGGTGAAAGAACAGAAAATGAACAAAATAAAAAATCCAAAATTACGGTGAACAGATTTCTTTCTTCAGTACTAGAGATTGAACCCATGATCTTAGCACCAAGGTACATCCCAGCCCTTTCTATTTTTTGAGACAAAGCCTTGTTTAGTTGCCCAGGTGGGTCTCAAACTTGTGATCCTCTTGCCTCAGTCTCCCAAACTGCTGGGATTACAAGCCTGTGCCACAATGCCCAGCAAGATGAAGGGATTTTTGACAAAAGTACAAATGAAGTGAAGAGAGGAAGGCCTTTTCAACAAATGGCATTGGAATCATTGGACACCTGTAAGCAGCAAAACTGATACACAACTCACGCATTATACAAAAAAACTTGAAATGAATTATAGACCTAAATGTCAAATATAAGACTTATTGAAGAAAATCTTTATGATCTTGGGTATGGAAAGGCACTCTACTTTGAGAATGAAGACAAACCATATTCTGGGTCAACTTGCAAATCACTTGTCTGATAAAGGACTAATAATCTTACTATGTCAAGAACCCTTCACACTCAACAATAAAAACTGAGTGGAAGAGCCAAGTGTCATGCTGCATGCCAGTAATCCCAGGATTTGGGAGAATGAGGCAGGACTGCCATGACTTCACACTTGAGGAAAAGAAAAATAGTATAACATTTTCTCAACAGACGGTGCTACCCTCATATGGGGGATCCTAGAGGATGTTGTATATTGCAAAAAATCCACTACACTGACAACCCTTAGAGAAGGAATTGAAAATGCATGTGCAGCAATCTCAGTGAGCAAGGTTACCCAAGCAGCAGTCCGCCATGCTAATAAATCTCTGGAAGCTAATGGCTACCACTTCAAGCACCTCTTGTAATTGTTTGGCCAAAGGTACCTTGTGTTAATCTCATGATATCGCAATAAATTTACTATTAAAATATTTATACAAGTTTTTCTTTTCCTGACGTGTGTATCCTTTTTTTTTTTTTTTTTGGTGGACTCTGTATATAGCAAGACCCTGTCTCAAAAAAAAAGAAGAAGAAAAAAAACAAAAAATGGGTGGAAAATCTGAAGAGGCACAATGCCAAAGAAGATAGATGGAAAATTAGCAAATAAAATGTTCATAATAACAAAAAAAGTAAGCTGTTATGGCTTATCTCTTATGGACTCATAGGTAGGAGGTCTTTTGGGAAGTGACTGGATCATGAGGGCATGATAGCTAACTGTGATATTGGGAGGTGAAGCCTGGCTGGAGAAGGTGAGTTACTGGGGCATGACCTGGGAGGGTCTGTCTCCCTCTCACCTCCCTTGATCTCTGCTCTGCTATGAGCTGTTTCTCCTCTGCTGTGCCACCCTTCCTTGCAGCCAGCTGACTATGGACTGACACCTCAACAAACTGAGTCAAAATAAACCTCTCCTCCTTCAAATTGTGGGTGTGTTGGGCATTGTGCCCTAGCGAGGTAAAGAAAGACATTAAGAAGCCAATTAAAAATGGGCAAAAGATTTTTTTCTATGAAATGGGCAAAAGATTTGAATAGACATTTCCCCAAAGATTATCTACAAATGGCTAGGAAGCATATGAAGAGTTTCAACATCACTAACCATTAGAGAAATGCAAATCAAAAGCACAAGACAGCACCTCATACTCATGAAAAGGGTTGAAATCAGTAAGCATTGATCAGGATGTGGAGAAACTAGAACCCTTTTTCATCATTGGTAAGATTTTAAAATGGTACAACTGCTGTGGAAAACAGTAGGAAGTCTTAAAAAAATTTAAAATAGGACTATCTGCAAAAAGAATTGAAATCGGGTCCTCCAAGTGATAACTAAAACACCCATATTCAATGCAACAATAACCACAAGAGCTAGGAGGGGGGAGCAACCCAAATATCCATCAATAAATGAATAAACAAAATGTATATATACATACAATGGAATACCGCTCACCTTTTAAAAAAGGAGAGCTTGGCACATACAACATAAACACTGAGGATATTATGCAAGTGATTTCACTTTGGAAGTATCTAAAGTAGTCAAATCCACAAAAACAGAAATTAGAATAGTAGTTACCAGGGTTTGGGGGAAAAGGAGAGCTGTTAAATGTCTTAGACAAGTTAGCATCTCTATTGTTTGAGATAGTGTCTCAGTATGTTACCCAGACTGGTCTCAAACTCCTAGGCCAATGGTGGCCAATGCTGCAACAGGATATTCATATCAATGAAAACACTAAAAGGTTCAGCATCACTGTCCCAGGCTCAAGCAATCCTCACAAGTGCTGGGATTATTGGCACTACATCATATCCGGCAAGATGAGTTAGTCTTTAAAAAGCTTTTCAAGTTGTCTTAAACAATGAAGTTATACTTCAATATGTCACCAAGTATCACAGTGGGAATATTTCATATTTTAATATAAAAAACAATAGCCAGGCAAGGTGGTTCTACCTCATAGCATTATTATGTTGTTTAGACCTATAAAGTGCTTTCCACAGTACCTGATACATAGTAAGTACTCAAGAGCCAGGGATTTAGCTCAGTGGTACTGCCACTTGCCTTGCAAACACAAGGTCCCAAGTTTGATCTTCAATATGAAAAAAAAAAATTGTAAGTACTCAGTAAGAATAGCTAGTATTACTGTTGCTATTATTTTTACTATTTTTCTTTATTGCTACTAATAAAATAGTCACTCTTCAGAAATAAAAACAAAACAGGTTTATAGAAAGTGAGAATACAATGATATAATGGTATCAATGAAAGGAGGTTGAGATCAGAGAATGGAATACTAGATTTCCAAGGTGGTATAGATATTCAGGCTGTGGTCATGAGAGTCTGTAGCTGCAGTGGAATAAAAGTAGAGGTTACTGTTTCGGGTTGAGGTTGAGAAATTGGAGAGATCATGGCTGGTCATCCACACAATGGTTAATTCTCTCTCAGAATGAGGTGGAGGGGAGGACTCAGCTGCAAAGACCTCACTGGATGCAGGAGAACAGCTGGGAAGATGGTAACACAGTCCCACTCTGGGCCTTCCTAGGACATCACCACTCTTTTGCTAATTTCTTGCTAGCTCACATCTACACATCCTCTAACCTATTTTTCCCTGCAAACAAGGATACCAGATAAAAAGCAGAGAAAAGAGCCCTACTATTTCCCAGCAGCACATCACAAGCAGACAATGGGCACTTAACTAAGTACAGTTTACTGCAGATAACATACAGGCGAACAGATTAAAATGTGGATACAAGCATGTGAATTGATGACACTAAAGCAGTGTGACATGAACTAATATTTATACATATAAACTTTGCTTCAAAGAGCAAATGTATAATAAAAGATACTCAAGGCTGGGAATTTAGATAAGTGGCTCTCCACCTGCCTGACAAGCACAGGGGCTGAGTTTGATCCCTGGTACCGGAAAAAAAATTTAACATTTTTAAAAAATAAAAGAAATTTAACAGATCATTTCCTTTATCTCAGCATCTATAAGGTCTCCCACCCATCTACCCACACAGAGAAGCAGTACTTCTAGGTGCAGATTAGATGGTGGCTCCCTTAGGCTACTTATTAATTCAAAACTAAGCTATATTCTACTCCCTCACTGTAATCTGGCTATCTGGCTTTTCTTTTCTTTTTTTTTTTTCTTTTCTTTTGTGGTGCTTGAGATGGAACTCACAGCCCCACACATACCCAGCACGTACTCTACCACCAAGTTCACCCCCAGCTCTATGGTTTTCCTTCTTCAGATATAAAGTTTGATATGGTGTGGCTCACCTACAGCTCTAATATTTCTAATATACATTTTGGCTTTTAATGTTCTCTGCTGACAGTAGAAAGATTCAAACCATACACAATTCTAAGAGCCATTCTAAGACCAGAGACAGAGACAATTAAAAGGATCTTACTTTTTATTTCAAATTTAACTCATGCCACTTTTCTCTATGACATGCTATAGTATTTTTTTTTAATTTTAAACATTTTATTAACTTTGAAGAATAATAACAACCATTTTAGAAACTAGAGATATTTGAACATTATCTATTCATAGTTTCTATGCAGTTGAAGTTTATATCAAATGAACAAAAAATACTATAGAAAAATCTATATAGAAAAAGATACAGAACAATCTATTGAACAGAAAGCAGGTCAAATGGACTCATAGACTCAGACCTTTTTTTTTGTACCAGGGATCGAACTCGGGTCCTTTAGCTTGCAAGGCAGGCTGCAGAACCACTGAGCTAAACTCCCGGCCCTCAAAGACCTTATGGAATATAGGAGAATCAATGGGAAGCAACATAGAGCCTTCTCCTGCGGCATAAATAGAAACCAGTCCACATAAACAAGAAATTATTTTTCTTCTTAACCTAAATGCTTGCCTCTGGTCCAGGCTCAGAGCAAGGTCTTGGTCATTTCAACTGGTTGTCAATCAAAGTCCCCCCCTTCATTTTCGCTTTCTTGGCTTCTAGTTCTGCCTGGAAAAAAAAAAAAGCATATGCCTCAATACATCAAATGAAATCCTTCTATTTCCTTCCTTATTTCAACTACCCACTTCTCCCTTAATATAGTGTACAAACTAGAAGTGGTTCTAAAAGCCTTATGCATCTCCAGCAACCTTTCTGATATTATAACAAAGAAAATGGTATTTGTAGGTCAAATATATTCATAGATAAATATATGAGACTGTGAACCAAGACAATGAATAAAAGGATTCTACGAGCTCCAGAACTTCCAAAGTGCTGAGGAAGCCATATCATGGCATATTACTGCCCTATCCTTCGAAGAACAGGAAAAATACCATTCCAGAACAGTGCTACTTAAAATTGTGTGCTCCGTAAGTCCATGCAACATGTATAAAAAAATGAAAGCAAATATTTTATTCATTCACTTATTTCTTTATTTTTGGTTTTTGAGACAGGATCTCACTATGTAGTTGAGACTGACCTGGAACTCACTATGTAGCCCAGGCTGGTCTCAAACTCACAGTGATCCTCCTGCCTCAGTCTCCCAAGTGCTGGGATTACAGGCATGCACCACCATGCCTGGCTTGAAAGTAAATATTTTAAAACCTGTATAACAATAAACAGAGTAAAAATAAAGGAAAATAATACAAATTGAAAACTGGGGCCTGGAGGTGTACACCTATAAACCTAGCTACACAGGAAGCTGAGGCAGGAGGATCACAAGTTCTAGGCTAGCCTGGGCAACTTAGGGAGATACTGTGTCAAAATAAAAAAATTTAAAAATTGGCTGGGGATGTAGTGCAGTGGTACAGCATACCTGGGTTTCATCCACAGTGCCAAAATATAAAATTAAATTAAAAATAAAAAACACAGGCCAGGCATGGTGGCACAGGCCTGTAATCCCAGCACTCGGGAGGCTGAGGCAGGAGGATCACTGTGAGTTTGAGACCAGCCTGGGCTACATAGTGAGTTCCAGGTCAGTCTTAACTACATAGTGAGACCCTGTCTCAAAAATTAATTAAAAAAAAAAAGACAGAGATGTAACTCAATGGCAGGACACTTGCCTAGCACATACAAGCCCCTGGGTTCAGTTCCTAGAATTTAAAAAACAAAACAGTTGAGGTCAATTCATTTTTTACAAATTAAAAATATACAAATTACAACATTAGATATTAAAGAAAAAGAAAGCACTGATCTTTCATCTTAGAAAGCTTGAGAAGCACTGCTCTCAAGTGCGACAAGGTAAAAAGCAGCAACCAGGCTCTAACACATCACCAAAGATCCACTCCACTTATTAGAAGAGACTGGTATACATTTTGATGAAGCATCAATGTCTGAGTCTAATGAAATATTGTAAGTAAATGATCAAAAAAACCCCAAATGTCATCACCATCATATAAAGAAGTACACACTCTAAGATGAGCCTATTAATAACACAGAAAATTACCAGGTACCACCAAGTAACACTACTGTCCACTATTCCTTCCTGGAAGAACACCCAGGAACCCTGACATTTAACTCCCCATCTTGACCTTGAACTCTCAACAAATAGCAGATTAAAATACAGTATCATCCTAGGGAGGGATTTTATTATGTATAGTTTTTAGAGATGGGGTCATGCTATGCAGTTCAGAGTGACCCTGAACTCACTATGTAGCCCCAGCTGTCCTTATACTCATGGCTCTCCTGCCTCACCCTCCAGACTACTGGGATTATAGGTGAGGGCTATTTAACAAGTATTCTCATTAACAGCCTAGATCTTGCAGTCAGAACCCATCCCCAAAAGACTTCTTAAAGGATTTCTTTGCTGGGTAGCTGTTCACAGTAAGAAAGCCCAACAGTGTAGCCCGGCATCTATCTACCCATGGCACTCACCAGCTCTTGCAGTCGTCTCTTGCTCATGCTTTTACGCTCCAGCTGTTTCTCAATCACTTTGACATTTTGGGCATACGAATCAGCAACTTCTCTCTAAAGGAAACAGCAGCATCCTTAAACCAGTACTCTCACCAAGGAATCATAACAAAGGCCATGGTAGCAATTTATGCTATTCAAATCAAGCAGTTGTTACCAAAATGGCAAGTCTGTTCTCTTTCAACTCTTCATTTGTCAATAATCCAAGAGAGTTCAGATTTCAAGCAAAATCATTTTTAAAATTATAAATCATATATGTTGGGTTTTTTTTGTTTGTTTGTTTCATTTTGTTTTGTTTTTGGTACTGGGGACTGATCTAGGACCTTTGCACTGAGCTATATCCCCAGCCCTTTTCATTTTTTATTTTGAGACAGGATCTCACTAAGTCACTAAGTTGCCCAGGCTGGGCCTGAATTTGTCACCCTCTGCCTAAGCCTGCCAGAGTGCTGGGATGATAGGCATGCACCACCACATCTGGCTTCTGGTCACATCTCTCCATAAATGACATTCTACTGAAGAACCAGAAAGGTACTTGCTGCTAGTGCTAAGGACAGACTCACAAACCAACAGAGCTGGACTAGAAAAACACCTGAAGTCATTAGTCCAGAGGTTTTTACAATTTGCTTTGCTTGCTTTTTTGTTTGTTTGTTTTTGTTCAGTGCTGGAGCTTGAACCCAGGGCCTTGCACATGCTAGGCAAGTGCTCTACCTCTGAGCTACATCCCCCATAGTTCAGGGGTTTTTAATTGAAGAGATGAACTGGATCCAAGTCCCTTGTTCTCATTCTACAGATCTTCCTGAGGTCCAGGGAAGCAGTTTCTTCCTAGGAGAGCAGAGCTTGAAAGCGAAATCTCTAATTGTTTTGCTCCGCAGAGAGGCTAGCGATCTAGAGTTCCCATTCCTCCCATACCCAATTCCCGCTTCCTAGAGAGCAAAACCACTTACAGCCTCAATCTCCTCTTCTTCTTCATCAATAGTAGACACAGTTGACAGAGCTGAACTTGCCCATGTCCTTAGTCCATTTGATCATCATCACCTGAAGCCGCAGGATGAGGAGACACTCTAGTTCATCCCAACGGATCCATGAGCCATGTGTGAGTGTGCACGTGCGCATGCCTGTGAGGAGGGCTGAGGGAAGTGGGTGGAACACCTGCCTACCTCTTTGGGAACATTACTTATCTGAAAGTGCCAATGCTTCTATTTATTTCATTTTGTCTAACATTTACCATCAAGAATTTTAAAGTACATTTTTAAATGAGCCTAATTCATTCAGTGTTTAACTGTTCACACTAGAAAAAAGTTTTGAAGGAAATGAAAATAAAAACCTTATCAGGCAATTGTGGAAAAGAAAAAAGTACAAATAAGAGGTGCTGTAATTCTGTAACATATGCTTAGACACAATAACGGCATTCTCTTGATTAAACAACGAATCCATTAAGAGCAGTTTCTTGTGTATTATATCCTTATTTAAAAATCTAAGACTAACTCTATGGCTATATTAAGCAGTCTTCTTGGGTATGCATCTCCTTTAATGATAATTACCTTCTTGGGAGGCTCTTGTTTCTCAGTATATATATTTGTTTTCCCAAAACCCTGGCCACACTTCATCACTGCTCCATCTATAATGAAGGTCACGGAAGCATCCTTCAGCTGGGACTGGTAGAACACTGGGAGTCCACACCTGCAAACGGCAAAATGAATCTCTGGGAAGCCCTCATTCCAAATCCCCAAACAGTGATCTGCAAAGTGTACTTAGACTCTGGGAATGTTGTAGTTTGTGACATAAACTAATGATCAGCTCTTCGCCATCTTTCTTTTGTTTGTTTTTTTGAGACAGGGTCTCACTATGTAGTTGAGACTGACCTGGAACTCACTATGTAGCCCAGGCTGGTCTTGAACTCACAGTGATCCTCCTGCCTCAGCCTCCCAAGTGCTGGAATTACAGGTGTGCGCCACCACGCCCGGCTCTTCGCCGTCTTTTATAAAATAACCTGACAGGCATCACCTGCATCACTTAGGATATTGTTAAAATTGTTGATAAGATTTCTAGGTTTCTCCCAGAAGATCCTACTTCAGCAACTGTAGGGGTGAGGCATGGGAACCCACCATTGTAAACAAGCTCCCAAAGTGATTCTTACTAGATAAATTTTAGTTTATCTAGTTTATCTGGCTGATTGCTTTGCAGTCAAAACTGCTACAATTCTTCCTAGGCATCTGAGTAACTGGCTTGGGCATTTTGTCTAGATTTTTTCAGTTTTGTTTTAGAAATGAAGAAACATAAAGGCCCCACTGTAGTAGGTGCCAAACCAACCCATGCAGTAATTGCCAATTTCTTTGGGGGCCAATATTATATTTTTTGAGGTGAACAACATAGAACTACAAGAAAGGATAAAACCAATTTCACCCATTTAGTATGTATGGGGGCTAAAATAACTTATCCACTTCCCCTGCTTTAATTCTTCTAACCTGAGTCTTTTGGCAGTCAAGATGTAACTATATCAAAACTGAATTTACTATAGTTAAATATTTTCACTATTACCAACCTAAAGTCAGAATTATACATACACTTTTGCCTTAAATGATAACTCTTTAATAAGACTCTTAGGTCTGTGATCCCATAATTGACTTTATAAATAGCTCTGGACTAAATTATACTATGTTACATTTACCATATGCCCCAGTCTATTCTACTCCAAAAGAAAACAAACATTTGCTCTAAGATTTATACTAGAATGTTCACAGCAGCCCAAACCAGAAATAACTCCAATGCTCTTCAATGAGTGAATGGGTAAACAAACTGTGATACAAAGGAATACTATTCAGCGACAAAGAGGAACAAATGATTGACACACAAACCAACCTGAATGAATTCCTAAAACATTATACTAAATGTTAAAAAGCTAGGTACAAAAGATACATATTGTACTTAGTAGAACACATATGTAGAATTTATATAAAATTTTAAGAAAGGCTAACCCATAGTGATAGAAAGCAGTTCCTAACAGAAGAGAGGAGCAGGGCCGGGGATTTAGCTCAGTGGTGCCACCGCCTGCTTTGCAAGCGCAAGGTCCAGAGTTCAATCCCTAGTACCCCCGCGCCCCCAAGAAGAAAGGAGCAGAGAAGGAGACTGGCTGCAAAGGATACAGGCAATACTAGAAATTATTAATATCATGATGGTGAAAATGTTATATGACTATACTTTCATTAAATTGTATGCTTAAAATTGGCAACTGTTTTGTTTTTGAGAGAACAAAACAATTTTTTTGTTTTGTTTTTTGGTCTAGGCTGGCCTTGAACTCACTATGTAGCCCAAGTGGCCTTCAATTTGCTGCTGTCCTCCTGCCTCAGCCTCCCGAGGGCTGAGATTAGAGGAATTAACTATCATGCCTGGCAAAAAATGGGCAAATTTTATTACATATAAATTATATCTTAGTTTTTAAAAATTATACTGTGCTAAATATTTGTTTCTGTGGTCAGTTGGTCAAGGATGTAACTCTGACTTCTCCCCCCACCTCTTCACCAAATGTTTATTTGAAAAGTGTGGGGTAAATGGGTATTGGAGAAAACAGCTCTGCAGAATGAACTTGGGCTGAATAATGAGAAAGACGGTAAAAGAAAAAAATAAAAGTACATGCTGTGTCTGAGAAACACTACATGGGCTATTGCGCAAACTCATTTATGATAGCCTTGACGAGTCTCCTGAGGAAGTATATTAGTATTTGGTTTGAAGGCACTTGAGAAGGACAGAGACATAATAAAGAATTACATCCAAATATTATTTTCCTAACAAATTACGCCTCTATTTGTCTAGGCTTGGAGAAACCCATACTGATCACACTTACTTTGTACACTTCTTCCTGTATTGTCGTTCAATGCCTTCAGGCCTGCACAGAAAATGGAAGTTAAAAAATAAAAAGGTAGGAGCAAATCTCACAACCTATCAACCTTACCATCTCATTGCTATACATACTAAAAAGACCTTTCAAAAAGTTTTCATTTCATAAATGAATTGGTTAAATATGTATGAAATTTAAAGGTCCACCATTCCTTCCTTCCTTCAACAAGCATTTATCGAGCCCTTAATATGGGTCAGGCATCTCCCTGACAGAGGAGAAAGTAGAGGAGCAATACAGAGTAGCAATTATAGTTGTAGTAACAACATTAATAGCAGTACCACTTCTATAATCAGCTACATCTGTGGATTCCACAAACCATGCATGAATCAAAAATATTTGAAAAAATTGTGTCAGTAATGAACATGTACAGATTTCTTTTCCTGTCATTACTCCCTAAAAATACAGTGTAACAATAACTGATACAGCATTTACATTCCATTAGTATCATAGGTAAAGATGATTTAAAGCAAATAGTAGGATATGAGTGGGTAATATATAAATGCTATGCCTTTTTTACATAAGGGGCTCAAGCATCAGCAGGTTTTTGTGCCCGCAGGAGGCACTGGAACCAATCCCCCACATACACGGAAGGACAACTATGTAGTTTCTACCATATTCTAGAAGCTATTCTAAAATATATGCAGTTATTGACTTATTTAATTCTTACAACGATGCTGTGAGGTAGGTCATATTATTATTCCCATTTTATAGATGAGGGAACCTAAGCACAAATTTCCATAATTTGTACAATGTCATAGTGCTAGGAAATAAAGGAGGTTGAATTCAAGCCCCACAGTCAAGCTCAAGAGTTCTCACAATACTGCCTTAGATAATCAATGCATAAATAAAGAGCTCAATTCCATCCACCAGTTGCTTAATAGAAATCTGAGTACAAACTCATCCTTGATTCTTCTGCTCTCATATCTCACATTTGTTTCACCATCAAATCCAATGGATTTTATCTCCAAGTTTGTTTGGTTTTTTTTGCAGTGCTGGGGATAGACTCCTCCAAGGCCTCACACATGCCTAGGTGGAGGTACACCCCCAGCACTTTTAAAATTTTATTTTGAAATAGGCTGTCACTAAATTGCTCATGCTGTCCTCAAAGTCATGAGCCTTCTGCATCATCTTTCCAAGTAGCTGGCCAAAAATAAATAAAGAAAAGCTGAACCCACCTCCTTTTCCATCTTCCTGCCCTGTTACCAATTCCCTAGACTATTATAACAAATTCCTGATTGGTCTCATTTCCCCCTTGTTTCAATTATTCAATAGTCAATATATGTACACAGTACACATATGAATATAAAATGAAAAGCAAATAGCCTTTCCACTTATTCTCTACAAACCTGGTTCCCCTCCTCAGAGGCAAAACATTTCTGTTTTTCTGTGTTTATCTCAGAGACAGTCGACGTATACATAAGCAAAATAACCCTGACAGGTATATATAAGTCAAGCACTGTACATTTTTTGTGGTAGGAAGTAATACTAGGGACTGAACTCAAATCTTCACATGAAGCTACATTCACAGACATGTTTTTGTTGTTTGAGATAGTTAAGTTGTCAAGCCTAGGTTCACACTTGCAATCCTCCTGTCTCAGCCTCCCAGAATACTAGGATTTCAAGCATGCACCACCACACTTAGCTTCTGGAATTTTTTTTGCATGAGGGAGGTAGTGCTGGTGATGGAATCCAGAGCCTTGAAATGTTCAACAAGCACTTTACCATTAAGCCCAGTACATAAAGAATGTTTTTCCTTTTTTTTAGATGCATCTACCGTATTTTACACTGTTTTCTACCTTTTTAAAATCATTTAACATGTATCCATTTTTCCAAAGCATACATATATAGGGCTGGGGATTTAGCTCAGTGATGCCACCACCTGCCTCACAAGCGCAAGGTCCTGAGTTTGATTCCCGGTACCAAAAAAAAAGTCTGTGTGTGTATGTGTATATAATATGTATGCACACACACACACACACACACACACATATACACACACACAGATATGCACACATATAAATGGTTATTCTACACCAATAAATAAATAACTACTCTTCTTTACAAGAACTCGTATTCCTCTACATGCAGAACCAAAATGCCTTTTACCCGTTGGATAAATTCCTAGAAGGGTGTACATTTTAACTCGGTAGATAGTGTCAAATCACTATAGAACTTGAACCAATTTATACTCCTCCCACCCATGTGTTTAGGGTTGTTTCCCTACAATACTGTATGCTATTAAACTGTATTCTTGCCAATCTCATATGTGAAAAATGAGATCTAATTTCTTTAAGAAAACGTTTCATTAATAGCCATTTGTATTTTTTGTGAACTGTCAATTCATATCTTTTGTTTATTGAATTACTTTTTAATTTTATATTAAGGAGACTTACCAGTGTTAAGGGGCCTTATAAATATTTCTTTCTATTTGTTATTTGCCTGCTATTTTTCCATCATGTGGAAATTGTAGATTTTATTATCAAGGCAACCTTTATTTCTTTTTTAGTATGTATGTCATAGCTAGTTAAATCTTCCTCACTCTGAATTCATATCTAAAACAAAAACTCTTAACCACTTATTCTAAAATCTGTTTCTACTACTGTCTTACTTCAAATCGTTGTCTATATACTGCAGAGGTTAGTGTAACTTCATCAGGCATCTGAAATAAGATCTAAACTCCTTCCCATGGCCTACCAGGCACCAACTGAGTGTATCACTGGGTCCCTGCCTCGTCTCATTCAGTGCCTCCTTCCCTTCCTCTGCACCAGCCACACCAGTCTTCCTTCTACTCCTTGAACAAATGCACACTTTCTAACCAGTGGCCATTCACATGTACATGCGCTTCCCTCTGCTGGAATGCTCTCACCATGCCACCATGGCCAACTCATTCTCATCTTTCTTGGGCTCACTTCACATATAACCTAGTCAGAGGCCTTCCCTGACCACTTTTTTCTAAGAGAATCTCATGTGATTCTATATACCAGGCCTTTGTTTCATTCATATGGCTTTCTAAATCATAATCACTTGCTTTTTCTGTTTATTAATTTTCTGTCATCCCATCCATGAAATCAAAACTTGGACTGCTGCATCACCCTATCCCTAAAGCTGACCAGCATCAAGGATACAAAGCATGTATGCAATAAACAGTGGTTGAATGAATTCTCTTAAGAATTCAATTTAGGGGCCAGGGATTTAGCTCAGTGGTGACACCACCTGCCTTGCACGCACAAGATCCTGAGTTTGATCACCGGTACCAAAAAAAAAAAAAAAATCAGTTTAGTGAAGACAATTACAATCAAGGAGGTAAATTCTTACATGGAGGAATATGTAAGGAGTAATGGCAACACAGAGGTGGGAGCACCAAAGTCTTTTAGGCTATCAATGGAAGGCTTCATGTTGATAGTCCTGATAGAAAATGGCATTTCTGACAGAGGGAATACTATACATAAAGGTAAAGCAGCACAGCACATTCTGGGAATTACAGTCTACTATTATTGGGACTTCAAAAAACCAAGAATTTACTATTAATCTTACAAATATAAAATAATTGTAAGGATATACCATGCACAATTGTATGACAACAAATTAGCCTAGAATAAATGAACAAATTCCTAGAATGAAAAAAATGATACATACCGCCAAAGCAAAAAGAAATAGAAAATCTGAACAGATTATAACAAGTAAAAGAGACTGAATTAGTAATAATAGAAAAAGGCAGGACCAGGGCCTTTACTGTTCAATTTTACCAAAAGTACAAAAATTAAGCCCCATGTTTCACAAATATTTTACAAAAAAGAGAAAGAGGAGAGAACAGTTCCCAATTCATTCTTTGAGGCCAGTTTTACTCCAATAGCAAAAACAAAGACATCAAAACAAAAAGAATTTAGGCCAAGTATGGTGGTGCATGCCTGTGACCCCAGCACTCAGGAGGCAGAGGCTTCAGGAAGATCACTGTGAGTTCAAAGCCAGCCTGGGCTACATATTGAGTTCAAGGCCAGCTAGCACTACATAGTGAGACCCTAACTTGAAAAAAAAATTTTAAATTAGTATTGCTTAAGAATCACACATGCAGGATGAGGATGTAGCTCAGTGGTACAACGCTTGTCTAGCATGCACAAGGACCTGGCTCTATTTCAACTACTGCTCCACCCCCGAAAAAAGAAAGGATATATATGCAAAAAGTCCTCAAAAGACACTGGCAGGCCAGGGATTTAGCTCAGTGGTTACTCCACCTGCCTGGCAAGTGCAAGGTCCTGAGTTTGATCCTCAGTACAAAAAAAAAA